TTTGAGCCTTTCTAAAGTGCCATTTGCTTTTAGTTTAGTTTTGAAACCCATTTAGATCTAATCATATTCATTGAATCTGTGCAAGATACCAAGGTCTAAGTCTTGTTCTTTTATATTGCTTTCAACTTTTCCTTCATTACTTCATACCATCTTGAATCTGCGAGGCCAGTTTTAAGTGTTTGAGGTTCCTTTGGAATAGAAATTGAATGAGGGGAAGCACTATAATGTAAATGTCCAGCCTTTGCTTTTCCTCATATCTTCATTAGATGTGTATTGAGGCCTAAATGACGTCTTGGATCAAGGTTAGATGGAGAAATAACATTAGTAAAACTTGAGTTGGAAATATTTGAAGGGTTTGAATGGCTTGCTCTTTGTGTACTATGCTCATAACCATCATTTATGGGAGGTTCTACATTTTGATTGCCATTTGCTAAAGGGGCTTGATCACAAGTCAATTTAGGTAGTGCTAGATGAAGATTTCTTGCATCAACAGGTTGTGTCGGGGTGCCAAGAGGATTTTCTTGACTAGCCTCATCTATGATATTTAACCAAGAGCGAGGTTCGATAAACCCCCCCTCAGTTATATGATCACCTGAAAATTCAGTCATGCAAGGAAAAATATGTTTATAAAAAACATGTCTAGATTTATAAATTTTACCTATAAGGACATGGAGACATTTGTAACCCTTATGATTTTAGCTATACACTATAAATACTAAGGGAAGTTGTCATAACTCAAATTTTAATAGAATTTTATTTTTAACTAATATGTTTTATCTTTATTTTACTTGTTAGGTTCATTCAAAGAAAAAAGGGGGGGGGGGCAAAAAGGAAATTTTACGAAGAAGATTGGAAAAGAAGATGAGAAAAAGGACTCAATTGAAGAAATGGAAAGTTGGAGGGGTGAAATGCAAAGTCTAGCCCAAAACCCACCATACTCAAACCCAATTACCAAAACCCAATGCCTACCAACTACCCAAGCCCAAAATCCCAAAACCAAAAATTATCCAAAAATCCAAAACCAACAATTACCCAAACCCAAGCCCAAATACCAAACCCATTTAACCCAAAAAAAAGAAAAAAGAAAAGAAAAAAAGATTAAATCTTTTTTCTCCAAAACCTCCTTCTTGCATTTTTCTTTTACTTTTCTCTCTCCCGAATCAGCCTCCACCCTCCTCTGCATCAATCTCCAGCTTCCTCTCCCCCCTGCACAGCCCAGATCCTCTGCACCGAGCCATCATCGCCCCCTCGCACGCCCAGCCTAGCTGCACCAGCCCTGCACCTACGCCCCTTCTCCCTGCTCTGCGCCCAGATCGTTTGCACTCTGCCCCAGCCTGCACTCTACTGCGCCCGGCCTTGCTTCCTGCACCAGCTTTGCACTGCACCAGCTCCTGCGCTCTGCACCAGATCGCCTGCACTCTGCTTGCCCTGCTGCGCCCCACTGCCGGCAATGATGCCCCTGCACGCCCGAGCCATCATCAGCACTCCACGCCCCTGCCTCCCTGCACACCGCGCCTCACCCCCAATCCCGCGCCTCTGCACCGCTGATTACTGCAGCCCCCATCCCTGCCTCACATGCGGAAAAGACAAGGAGTACCGGACAAATTGGCATCATTGATTGACAGAGCAAGGCCCTTGTCTTTTGTTGCATTTTATTTTTATTTTTATCATTTGGGGTATATATATAGGGCAAAAGCA